TTTTACACTGTCTTCATTGTCATTGGCCTTCTGACCCATATTATTTTTTCATTATTCTTCTAAGTATTACCTTTTGTTTTGCTGTCTTGCATTGTATGTAATGTTTGAAAATCTCAATAAATATTTTGCAAAAGAAACAGTATTGCTTTTATCCTGTTTATTTAAGGGGGTTGCGCATGGGGGGAATGGTTCTGTATATTTATGTTTTTACTATTGATGGTCCTGCTTGACCACAATTGGGGTATAATGTGGCTATTTTACACTTGTTTAATTTTTTCTTTTTTTTTAATTTTAGGCACTTGAAACTAAAGTATGATAGAAACAATAACAAAAAATATTTTTCAAAGAAAAATAGCAGTGCACCTCCTAATATGGGTACCTAGGCACACCTGTGACTTCAGGCTCATATCTGTATATCTGCAGTGTGAGATTTAAGGTACTGCTGCCTGTGACTACTAATCTCAGGAGATTTGGAGTGAGATCTGGTAAAGTCACTACTGTGCTGCTCACTGTTCTCCTTGCTGGATGCTCTGACATGAGGAAGCACAGCCCTGTCTCTATCAAGATGGCTACCCCCACACAGTGCTGAACAAGACAGACTAGTCAGTAATGAGGAAAAGATTAGCTACAGGAAAACCAGAGGCAAAACAAGAAACTAGTACTTTCAACCTCCTGTCTGAATTTGTTTGGGCACAGCTTCCAGAGCTTAGTTCTGCTTTAAAGCAGAGTTGTTTTTTTAGCAACCCTATCAAATAAAAGAAACAACAAAATACAACGGAACAGAATACTTTTGTGCCACCTATACTACTGAGAAAGTGTCCACGTCTGGGATTGTCAATCTTCTGTGTTCCCCCCAGAACTCACTACTTTCTCTTGCTAACCTTCAGTCAGTCTCTCTATTTGTCTTGGTGACCAATGGCACCGAGGAAAACTTTGATAAGAAATCCAAAGCTTTGCAGTTGTGCACCAAAAGATAAAGCTGGGTTTTGCACGTTCAGTTCTTTTTTTGATTAACCAGCTGGTTGAATGAAAAAACCCCATATCAACACAACAATACTATTGTATTCTGACGGGAAGACCCCCACCCTTACCAGAATACACTGATCAGCACTTGCAACAATTGGCTGCAAGTCCTGATTGAATACTGGTTTTCCAGCAACACTGTTCAACAGAAGCTGGTCATTAGATTGGTGTCTGTTGAACAGACCGCAGTACACATGTCCCGAAAGGCAACTGGTTCCTGCTGAACTGGCTGACTATCGGTATGTATATACATAGCTTGATGGCAAATCTAATGGGGAACCTGTTCCAGTTTGTACAGAGTTGCTCCCATTTGCTTTTGCATCTCTGGAATAGAAAGTAAAAAGATATCTACTCAATAGGACACAAACACAAAATAATAAACTTACAGAGGTTTTAACGCTTTCCTAATCTAACCAAAAGGGATCTACATATTATTTAAATTAGGGATAGGCAATTTTAACACCTCAGCTGTGGTGAAACTACAAATCCTATAATGTCTGCCTCTAGGAGTCATGCCTGTGGCTATCAGAGTCTTGCAAAGACTCATGGGCAGCTGGAGTGCCGAGGTTACCTACCCTTGCTATAAAGCTCATATATGTTGAATTTTAATGATTGGGTTTACATCTACTTTAAGCCATTAGTGGCTGGATCTTATGGGTGTAAGTACCTCTAGGCATATAGGTTAGGACAATAGTAGGGTTTGATATGAGACAAATGCTCCCCTCCATAGTGCCCCTAAAGGTTCCTATTGGTGGCATCAGTTTGACATCAATTTTAGATTGTTCACACTTTATTGGTGCATTTGTTCTACAGTGGTGGACCTGCTTTGACCTGCTTCCAGCGTGATTTGCATTCAGAAAGATTTCTATGGTAAAGTAAAATCTATTTGAAGAGAACAAAATCCCATGGACACAGGCTCTAGCATTGTTCACTGCTCCCTATACAAGGCAATTTATTCAATTGCCATTTCTTGGTTGGCAACAAACTTTTTCTATCTTAAAAGTTAAGAAATGTCCGTCACCCCTGTACTGTTCTCTCACCATGTAAACCTATAGATTTCTAGTCATTTTTTTTTGTCTAGGGACATTAACCACAGCATTGTGTCAGAACAAGATATTCCACTCTAGGTACAACTAACAGGAACGCAGAGAAAACTTTGCTGCAGCGGGATATATAGTAATACATCAATGTCAGCTCTTGTTATGGAGAGATGACTCACTCAGGTGAGAAGTACAGCATAAGCCTTTCCTGTGGCTCCATAAGGAAAAAAAAGTAGCTGAAACAAAGCTTGATTCTGTAGAAATAAGCTCACAAGCTGAATACAAGCTGCTCTTTAGTGCAGTAGATGTCCATGCTAGCTAGAAGACTGCTCTGCATTTCAATGAGTAATGTGTTATTGGAACATTAATATCAAACTTATTTTAAATGTGGTTTTCTTTTTTGCAGTCAGAACTAGAAACTTTATGTCCTTGGAAATTGTATATACATATCATTTAAGACATTGATTGTATCAGTACTTTCAAACTTCCTGAAATGTCCATTGGCAGCAGCTTTGATACAGCTCTCCATGACACAGAAACCCCATCACAGGATGCTCTATACAGGAGTCAACTTCATGCTGCAGTCCTGCCGGGTGTACATTTCAGCATGGTAGCACACATTCCCTAGGCCCAAACTCAAATCCCTGTCTCAGCATCATCCCCCCCAGGGATCAGGCCTGGAAGGCGAAAGACCTTCCGCACAACCCCCTTATCTTCCCCCTCACTCCCCGGTCACAGCCCAGGAGGCAAAAACTCTTCTGGAAGGTCACCCCAAATATTCATATTCTTCTCCAGCATGCACCACTGGCAATAAACCACCTAGTATTTTAACCCAATATTCTTACATGCTTATTTTGATAGAGAGATGTAGCACTCAATGTTCTGATACAGGAAATTACAAATACTATTATATAAAAGGTGAGAAAATCACTGTGTTAATAAACAAAAAGGATTTAGTACCCTAGAGAGATGCTAACACTCATGAAAAAATACAAATAAAATAGAAATCTCAAATGCCTGAACAAAAATCAACATAATACATAAAACAATGTGCAAATTGGTAACCAAAATCGATTAAAAAGATTAAAAAGTCCACTCCTCCCAGCGTCCAATTAAGGCCCCAAAGGGCAATTTCTACATACACACACATATATATATATATGTATATATATATATATATATAGTGCATAAGCTCCATATGCAGTACTCCAAGAACACCAGGTAGCCATCTACTTACCGGATTCAAATGATTTCTAGGAACAAGAGATCAGAAGCACTTAAACAATAAATTCAGGGTCAACTGACAATTTTCAACCTCGCCCAATCACTTCACAGTGTACAAGCATACCCACCTTTCCTCACTGTTGTACGTACAGTTTCAGGGATTTCCAGATCTGATGGCTCTAGATTGTTCACATCATTGGTGAATATCTATATAAATGTAAATTTGATGCCACTGGCCTCTTACTTGTCCCCTGAAGACTTCCTATTGTAGACAAAATGCTATGGAAGGGGCTAGTGGCCTGTAACATCATTGCACATGCCAGTATACAACATCAAGGTGCTATAGCTTTGTGTACCCTGTGATGCTTGTGAGTATATTTTATGTGTAATAAATTGGGAGTTTTTTTACTATATGGTCTCCTGTTTTTCTCTTTTACCTTTCCTAAGGAAAGTTGAGTATTTTTGTGAAAATTGTGAAGTGACTGGACAAAGTTGAAATTTGGCAGTGGAACCTGGAGCGACAACATTTATATTTTTAAGTCCTTCTGAGCTTCTGACAGCTCCTTCTCAGCTTGCTTAAGAACCAGGGTCACTCTTTCTCTTACTTCAGGTTCTCAGGTAGCCCACCCGAGGCCACATAACAACAGGTGCCAGGGGAGGCAGCATGCACTCCCCTGGCCTAATACAATCCACTCCTGGGGAAGACCCAGGGCTCAGTATGTGCAAAGCATAAATACCATCTCCCAGCATTCTTTAGGGCTGCATTGCCTGTGATTGGCTGGAGTGGCATTAATATTCATGCTGTGTTCTGCATGACTGCCACCTATACATCTAGAACCTTTCTAGGTTGCTTGGATACAGAGGAAAACAGAGGAAGAACTAGCAGCACTTGATCTCACTGAGCAGTTGCTACTAAACAATTGCAGCTCTCTGCAGAAAGCCTAATTAGATTTTCCTTGCAGTTCTCCTGTTAAGCAGAGGAACAAACAATAATCTAGTTATCCCAGCACCTATCTACAAGGTTGCTACATATATATAAATGGCATTTCCCTTTAGGGCCTTAATTGAACACTGGGAATGGACTTTTTCATTCTTTTGTATTTTTTGTTTTTTAATTTTCACGTTGTAGGTATTATGTTGATTTTTTGTGCTTGTATTTAAGATTTCTAATTGTATGTATTGTTTTTGCAAGTGTTAGCATCTATTGTATCCAAGGTACTAAATCATTTTTGTTTATATACAGTACTCAGCATAAATGAGTACACCTCTTTTGAAAAGTAAGATTTTAATCAATATCTTAATGAACACAGGAACAATTTCCAAAATTTTGACAAAACTGAGTTTTATAGAATATTTGTTTAGCTCATTGCATGAAAGTAAGGTGAATAATATAACTTATATTACAAAACCTTCAGTCTTACTAAATAAGTTGATGCAAAATTGAATACACCCCACAACAAAAACTTCTACATCTAGTATTTTGTATGACCTCCATGATTTGTAAGGACAACACCAAGTCTTCTAGGCATGGAATGAACAAGTTGGTGACATATTGCAACATCTATCTTTTTCCATTCTTCAAGAACGACCTATTTTAGAGCCTAGATGCTGGATGGAGAGTGATGCTAAACTTGTCTTTTCAGAATTCCCCATAGGTGTTCAATTGGGTTCAGATCAGGAGACATACTGAATCACGTTCACCCTGTTCTTCTTCAGAAATGCAATAGTGGCCTTAGATGTGTGTTTTGGATCATTGTCATGTTGGAAAAGTGCAGGACAATCAAGGGCACAGACAGGGGCGGACTCACAACTCATGGGGCCCCCGGGCAATAGGGGATCATGGGGCCCCTGTGTTCTTGCCCAAACTCAAAAAAGCCTATGAAAAAGGTACCAGGGGCATATCATGGGGCCCCCTACTGACCCTGGGCCCTCGGGCATTGCCCGAGTTTCCAAATAATCAGTCCTCCCCTGGGCACAGAGTAATGGTAGCATCTTCTCTTTCAATATAGAGCAGTACATCTATGAATTCATAATACCATAAATGAAATGCAGTTTTCCCAACCCCAACAGCACTCATGCAGCCACACAGAAGAACACTACCACCACCATGTTTCACTGTAGGCACCATGCATTTTTCTTTGCACTCCTAACCTTTACGAAGCCCTACAATTTTGAAATCATCAGTTCCAAAAACATTCATCTTGATCTCATCACTCTGGAGTACAGAGCCCCAGTAGTCTTCTTCTTTTTCAGCATGGGCCCTGGCAAATTCTAGGCGGGATTTTTTGTAAATGGGCTTTAGGAGAGGCTTCCTTCGTGGACGAGACCCATGCATGCCATTCCTCTGCAGTATACACTGTATCGTGCAGTGGGAAACAATTACCCCAGTATGGCTTTCTATTTCTTTAGTTAACTGTAGTGAACTTGCATGGCAATTTTCTTCAACCCCTTTCACCAGAAGATGCTCCTGCCAAGGTGTTAACTTCTGTGGACAGCCTGGACGTATCTGTGAAATGGTTACAGTTCCATCTTTGTTAAATTTTAGTAACACTTTTGCTACAGTATTATGACTGATGAGTAAAGTGACTGATAAGTAAAGCTTTGCTGATCTTCTTGTAGCCTTCACTTATTTTATTGTGTAAAGAAATTATTTTCTTTCTCAGGCCTTGTGGCATTTCTCTTCCATGTGGTGCCATTGCTGACAGCATGAAATGGGAGGGGTTTTCTTTGTTAAGTAACACCCTTTTTATAATCAACTTTCTTGTGGACACCTGTTTAAAAAATAATTAGACTCACCTGGAGTTAAATTCTTGTTAATTAGGATTTTGTTGTCTAAAATTTAGCTTTGCTCCTAAGACTTTCATTGGGGTGTATTTATTTCTGCAACTTGGTCTTGAATGAATTTGTTAGGAAAAATACTTTTTTGTGTGTGCAAATTAGCAAGTCTTGTTTGCAATCAATGGCCCGCATTTGTGGGAATATTTTGTAGTATAGTGTCCCATAGAAAATGTTGATTTTGAAAGGAAAGCAAAGGTTTTCTGACAAATCTGTTGGAATGTACTCATTTATGCTGAACACTGTATATAGAAAGAAAGAAATATTCATAATTCAATAATATTTTTTTTCTTATTTAGTCTCCTAGAGAACACTCACCAGCAACAGGTAGAAGTAAACAATAGTCTTGGAGAAACCAAGTGAATACAGAAACAATAGCAATGATTATTGCTTAGGTTGACTACAGTCTAGCTACCCACTAAATTTAAATGGGGACACTCCAGCAGGGTCCCTGCAGGAGATTTGAATGGCACCAAACCAAAAAATAATACATAAACAAAAGCTCATTCAAAATAGCAGAAAAGAACAATGTGGAAAACCACATTTACATTCCCAGCAACATAAAGGAAAGTGTATGAAAAGTTTTTGTTTGAAAGTGTAAGAAAGTGTATGAAAACAAAAACCTTTTGTTTCAGTTTTAGATGTGTAGGGAGGGGAAAACCCCCTACCAGGTTATTTGTTTGCTGCCTGAGGCAAAATCTCTTAAAAGTCAAAAGATTTCACTTTTGGTTGCAGTGTCACTAGGAAAAATAAAAAGTGAATTCAGCAGAGACATGGACAGCAATAAAAAATTGACAAAGAGTCTAAGTCACAGGTCACACCGCTTTAATTTAAGATCGTGCGATTTGTCTGCAATTTCAGCGTGATTTCTGAAGACTTTATTGTGAAGATTTTCAATGTTTTATTGTGATTTGCATTATATTCTAGGTATGTTAATCACAATAAACTGTAGAAAAGATAATGCACAAACTACTTTAGTAATTTGCACGTTAAGACACTGACATGCACATTCATAAAATGCGATTTCAGGTGTGATTTCAATTTGCAAATTGTACCTTAAATCGCACCGTTATGACCGGGCACTAACTCTTTCCTCCAGAACTGAATAGTAGTAGTCCTTTATCCCCGGTTCACACCAGGTACGGCTTTGAAGTCGCACTACTTCAGTGCGATTTCAAAGCTGCCAATAAGTGTAACTTCATATGCGGCTTGCTGGTGTATGAAATCTCACAGATGTCAAAGCAAGTTGCACATGAAATTGCACAAAAATAGTGCAGAAACCTTTTTCAAAGTCGCTGCGACTACAGCCACACCGATTTGAACTGTTCCATATTAGCAAATAGGGTGCAACTTGTCATGTGTCTTTGATCTGTCAAGTCACATGACAAGTCGCACCCGGTGTGAACGGGGGGACTTAGTCCTTTAATGCTTGTTTTTTTAAATAACAAACAAACGACCCCCTACCTAGGTTTGGAGACATCTATAGGAGGTATAAGAGATGCTTAAAATATTATATATTAGAGTTGTTTCATTATTTATCAAACAGAATTTAAAAACACTTTAAAAGCCTCTTTCAACTGGCTGCATGAAGTTAAATAACTTCAATCTGTATATGTGTATCTCCCTGCCTTATTTTTTTTTCTTTAGACGTATGAAATGTAATATGAATCCATACACTCAAGCTAATACTCAATGTCCACAATGCACTTTAAATTACATCTTCAATTTTAGTGAAGATGTTCCTTAAAGCAGACTTCTTCTCCTTTTACTAAACACATCAGCTCTGCATGCTGATATGAAATCATCCTACTTTCTGGTACAATCATTTTTATGGTTGCATGCAAAAACAGCAAGATAGCTGAACACCCACGCACAAGTCATATAGGCATGAGTGATATCCTGTGCAACTAGACATTTTGGGGGTACCAAACTTCTATTAAACGACCACATGGTAGGAGCCGTCAGTTGGTGTAAGCTGCCTAAGCCTAAGGCCAAGGTGAATACCAGGAAAAAACCAAAAGGTGAACCGGTTAGCCAGTCACAAGAAAAAAGGAAAATAAAGGGGGGATAAGAGAAGGAAGGTTCCCGTAGGGGAGAAGATGGTAACTAGTGAATAAATAAGTGAAATATATCCAGATTAAACACTGTTGCCACCTTAATATAAATCATATAAACAATAAATGAACCTATTCAGTGGCGCTGTGAACAAAAATCAATCAAAGTGACAAGTTATAAAATGAATAAGACACTGATAAAATTAAAGTCCATAAATTCATTCCAACGTGATAATCTTCTATTTACTTCCCAAAACCAAAATCACCACATGTTCTAGAAAAAACGTACCCCCTTCTGGGTGTGTACTCACCAAATTTCCATGCCTCCCACTCTCATGGTCGGCATATATCGTTTTGAAAAACTCCAAATGGGAAGGGAATGTGACAATATCAGCAATCCACAATCCTCCTTGCTCCTCTCTCCCAGATGCAGTGGCCATGAAAGAGTAAAAGGTAAAAACTCCAATGGTCCAGTATAAATGACACCTTTTGTTAAATTAATGCAGACAGCCATTCACAAGAAAACTGATAAAAACATGCCTGTAGATAATATGTGTGGTAGTGTGATGGATTGCAAGCAGTGCTCTCACCATTGCCGGATCCCAAACAATGGCGCTCTCGCGTCACTTCTGGTTCTGGTCCCTGAAATCACTTTCAGTCGCCGTACAGCCTCACTCTGATGCGTTTCGTCACTTCTGACTTAGTCATAGAGATCTCTATGACTAAGTCAGAAGTGAAATTTAGGGGAAGAGGCAGAGGAAAACCTAGTCTCCTGTAAACATACAATATCAATTTGTCTGGTTTTGTGGCGGTGGAAGACTTTTGATCGCTTAACAGGTGAGTTGAACCTTTGTATGTTATGGGAATAGATCTTCTAGACATGATGACGGAGACAGTAGGGCTATAGTAGCCGGGGCTCAGGAACAGGGTGGCCCAGATATGGGGATGCCATAATAATAGACCCAAACCTGCAGGATGAAGGGGGTTGGGAGGGAAGAGGAAGAAGGGGAGGAACAAAGCGAGTCAAAACTGTAATAAAAAAAAAAAGGAAAAAATAAGAAAAATATGAAACATTTGCCACTCCAAGAGTGGACCACATCTCAAAATAAAGGATGTCTGTCACGGGAAACTCCACCACTGGACACGTTTTTTTTTTTTTAATAGGGAATGAAAGAAAACCTGGAGGGTTACTTGAGGCAGGGAAAGGGAGAATGCCACCTCCTCCATCCACAATGGGAACACACAGGTTGAAGAGGCAAAGGTCTTGGAGGAGGGTGAGGCAGGGTATCCCCAGGCCTCAAGCTAGCAACAAATGTGAAGAAAACTGAGAACTGAAAACTGAACAGTGTGAACAAAGATATGATGCAACCCAAGTGATAACAGTGAACAATCAAGCAGCAACTCAAGGGTGGGGGTTACACCAGTCTATTGTTGGGCTAAGGGTAACCCAAGACAGACTGATCCCCAGGGACCAACACTCCCAGAACTAGGCCAGAGGGGTGAGGACCTGGGGTATCAAATATCAAACTACAATATCAATCAGAGGTAAGGGACCCACAGGTAATAGCTTAGTCTGTTAGGAGTCTGTTAGGAGGCAATCAAATGCATGGGACATATGGTGGCCATCAAATACAAAGTATCATGATATAAAAAGTGGGGAGAAGGGGCTATGGGGAGGAGGGGAACAAGGGCCTGTGAGGGGGGAACCTTGTGAATATTCCACTGTAGCAGCCTGTGAGTTCAGCAGAGAGTACAGGGATCGCTATCAGTAATACTTTAACCACTTGCCCTACAGAAGATTTACTCCCCTTCCTGACCAGGCCAATTTTTCCATTACAGCACTGCACCCAAATTAAATTTACATCCTTTCTTTCAGTGGTATTTGATTGCCTGTGCGTTTTTATTTTTTGCGCTATAAAAAAAAAGAAAAAACATTTGAAGAAAAAAACAATATATCTGACTTTTTCCTATTAATCATGTCCAGTAAAAAAATTTAACATATCAAATATTGTCATAAATTTAGACCAAAATATACGTCTAAATGAATTGGTTTACATGAAAGTAATGACAGCCATCAGCAACTTATAGCAGGCTGCAGGACTGCAGCGGGCATTCTGACACTGGGGGGAACTGACTTGGTGTCACTGACATCCCCAGTGACACCAATACAGTGATCAGTGTTAATAAAAAACACTGACACTGTACTAATGGCACTGAGCAGGAACGGGGTTAACATGTGGGGTGATCAAAGGGTTAACTGTGTGCTGATTTACTGTTTGCTGTGTTAGTGCTTTCAACTGTAAGCACACTGCTTTGCATTACCCCCCATCGGTAATGCTCCGCAATCTTAGATTGTGAGCTCCAAGGAGCA